TTATTACTTTTTGGGTTCTTTGTTGACCTTTCCCTCCTCGTTTTTTGGTTGCTGCCTTGATTTTCTCTTCTCGTTTTTGGGTTTCTCCCCTGACCTTTTTTCTTCCATTTTTGGGGCGCTCCTTTGACTTTTCCCTCTTCATTTTTGGCCTTCTCTCCTGGTTTTTTCCTCCCATTTTTGGGGTTCTCCCTTGACTTCTTCTCCCTCTCATTTTTGGGGTGTTCCCTCCCCTGACCTTTTTTCTTCCATTTTTGGGATGCTCCCCTTTCCTTCCCCTCAATTTTTGGGGTGCTCCCCGAACTTTCCTCCTCCCATTTTTGGAGTTTTCTTTTTTATTTTTTTTTTTCTCCCGTTTTTGGGGTGCTTCCCTTTCCTTCCCCTCCTCGTTTTTGCCGTGTTCTCCTGACTTTTTCCTCCTCGTTTCTTGCTTGCTCCCCTGACTTATCCTCCCCTATTTTGGGGTCCCCCTGACCCCGTTGTGTTTTTGGGTCCCCCCTTACCGTGTCCCGTTTTTGGGGTCCCCCCTGACCCCGTCGTGTTTTTGGGGTCCCCCCTGAGCGTGTCCCATTTGCAGGGTGCTGGTGGGGGGCACGCGCCTTCAGGACCCCCAGCTGGTGCCCGCGGTGCCCGGGGGGCTGCGGCTGCTGCTGGGGCCGTTCCTGCAGCCCCTGGTGCCCCAACCCGACCTGGAGTCGCCCGAGGGAGCCCTGAGGAACCTCCTGAGCTTCCTGAGCCTCAACTCCTCCGTCGGGGGGCTGGGCTGGAGCGTGAGTCAGGGACCCCAACAACCCCAACCCCCCCCCAAAAATCCCCTGGGAACCCCCCAAAAATCCCCCAACTCCTCCATCGGGGGGCTGGGCTGGAGCGTGAGTCAGGCACCCCAAAAACCCCAAACCCCCCCCAAAAATCCCCCAACTCCTCCATCGGGGGGCTGGGCTGGAGCGTGAGTCAGGGACCCCAACAACCCCCAAACCCCCCCCAAAAATCCCCTCAGAAACACCAAAATCCCCTCAGGAACCCCAAAAAAATCCTCTCAGGAACCCCAAAATCCCCTGGGAACCCCAAAACCCCCTCAGGAACCCCAAATTTCTCCTACACGGGGCTGGGCTGGAGCGTGAGTGAGGGACCCCAAAAACCCCCTGAGACCCCCAAAAATCCCCTCAGGACCCCAAAAATCCCCTCAGGAACCCCAAAATCCCCTTCAGAGTCCCTGCTGAGCTTCCTGAGCCTCAACTCCTCCTACACAGGGCTGGGTTGGAGTGTGAGTCAGGAACCCCAAAAATCCCCTCAGGAACCCCAAAATCCCCCCAGGAACCCCAAAAATCCCTTCAGAATCACCAAAAATCCCTTCAGAAACCCCAAAACCTCCCTAGGTCCCCTCAAAATGTCCTCAGGAGCCCTAAATTTCCCCATCCCCTGAAAATCACAAATGGGACCCCAAAACCCCCCTGGGACCCCCAAATTCTTCCTGTCCCTGCTGCCCCCTCTCATTTTTTGGGTACCCCTCCCATTTTTTGGGGTCCCCCCATATTTTGGGGTGCCCCCATACATTGGGGTGTCTGTCCCACAGGTGGGGTCCCCCTGGCGCTCGTGGGCCCCCCCCGAGCTGAGGCTGCCGCAGCTGCTGCTGCTCTGGGGGCTCCCCGGGACCCCCGTGCTGAGCTACGGCGACGAGCTGGGGCTGGGCCGGCCCCCCAAAAACCAACAGGTACCCACAGGGGGGAAAAGGGGGGTCCAGGGGGGGTTTGGGGGGCTGCAGGTGAAATTTAGGGAGGCTGGGACACATTGGGAGAGAATTGGGGGGGGGGGGTTGAGGGAAGATTTGGGGGGCTGCAGGTGAGGTTTGGGGGGTTTCAGGGGGGATTTGTGGGATTTTTAGGGGGTGCAGGGTAGGGGGTTGAGATGGTGCCCTGGCCCAAATTTTGCCTGGCTTTTGCCCCGTTTTCCCCGGTTTTTGCCCCAACTTCACCACTTTTTGCCCCAATTTCACTGGGTTATTGCACCAATTTTTCTCTTTCTTGCCTCATTTTGCCCTTTTTTGCCTTTTTTCCCAGGAGCTGCCGCCGATGCCGTGGGAATTGATCGATGAACCGAAAAAAGGCGGGAACGGCTCCGAGGTGGGTGGGGCTTGGAGCTGTGATTGACAGCGGTTGTGGGTGGTGCTTGTTGGGGGCGTGGTTTGTTTAAGGGGTGTGGCTTAGATTTGCCCCTCCTTTTGTGGGCGGGTCTTTACTGTCCATTTATGGCTTTTTTAAGGGGGCGGGGTTTGTTGGTCACACGAACAAGTGGGCGGAGTTTTAGGGTGGGTCCCACAAAGCTGTAGCACCCGTGCAGGTCCTTAAAAGGGCAATGCAACCTTAAAAGGGCAACACATCCTTAAAAGGGGAATAGCCTCTTAAAAGGGCAGCAAACATTTCAAAGGGCAGTGCATTTTTAAAAGGGTAATAATACCTTAAAAGGACAATGCAATCTTAAAAGGGCAACACGTCCTTAAAAGAATAACGTGCTCTTAAAAAGGAAACACACATTGGAAAGGGCAATGAATTTTTAAAACCGCAATGTGTCTTTAAAAACGCAATGCAACTTTAAAAGGATAGTGCGCCCTTAAAAGGACAATACATTTTTAAATATGTAATGTGTCTTTAAAAGGCAACATAGGGCAATGTGTTTTTAAAAGCATAGTATGTCCTTAAAAGGGCAACACAGTCTTAAAAGGGCAATGTGTTTTTAAAAGCATCATGTGTCCTTAAAAGGGCAACAACCTTAAAAGGGCTACACTCCTAAAAGGGCAACACACCCTTAAAAGGGCAACGCCACCCGCTGCCTCCTTAAAGGGCCAGCACCCTCCTTTCTCGGGCTGCATTCAGGGGTGTCCCACCCCCCTGAGCGCAGCCCCCCCTCTTTGCAGCCCCCCGAGCTGGAGCTGTGCACGGCGCTGGCCTCGCTGCGGGCCCACGAGCGCTCGCTGCTGCTGGGGGAGGCGCTGCCGGTGCGGGCGGGCGCGGCCGTGGCGCTGCTGCGGCGCTGGGACCAGAGCGAGCGCTTCCTGCTGCTGCTCAACCCCCACGGGACCCCCCTGAGACCCTTCTCGGTGCCGAGGGACCCCGGGGACCCCCGGGACCCCCCCCTGCCCGAGTGGGCCGCGCTGTGCTTCAGCACCGGCCCCAAGGAGCCGGGGGAGCCGCAGGTGCGGCTGCAGGAGCTGCGGGTGGGGCCCCACCAGGGGCTGCTGCTCAGCTTCCCCTACAGCCCCCAGTGAGGCGGGCGCCCCAAAACTGCCCTGACCCCACCACAGCACCCTAAACCCACCCCCAGCACCCCAAAACTGCCTTGACCCCACCACAGCACCCCAAACCCATCTCTGAGACCCCAAAACTGCCCTGACCCCCCCAAACCTGCCCCTGGCGCCCCAAACTGCCTTGACCCCCGCCCACAGCACCCCAAAGGTGCCTTGACCCCCCCAAAACCTTCACCCTGACCCCCCCCGGCCTTGCACCCCCCTCATTTGGGGGTGGGGGGGTCCCACACTCATCTCCCCCCTCTCATTTTTTGGGTCTCATCCTGCTCCCCCCCTTCACCCCAAAATCTTTTTTGGGGTTTTTTCTCTGTCCCAAACTCACTTTTGGGGTTTTTCTGTTTATTCTGGGGGTTTTGGGGTCGCCCCTCCCCAAATTCTGAATAAATGATTTGCATTTGTGACCTTGGTTTGGTTCTGGTTTTTGGGGCGGTCGAGGGTCTCTCTCCCCAGGATTTGGGGGTTTCAGAGACCCCCAAAATAGGGGGGGGAGGATTTGGGGGTCCCAGGGGAGCCCACAGAACCCCAAAATGAGGGGGGGGTTGGATTTGGGGGGGTCACTGAGGGTCCTGAGGGGGTAACAAGACCCCAAAACCGGGGAAAATCCACCCAAAATTGGGGCTGGGGTCCCTCAGTGGGGCCTCAGGGGGCACCCTGAGAAATGGGGACCCCCAAAATAAAGGGGGGGGGGGGTCACCATGGGGGAGGGGCTGGGGAGGGTTTGGGGAGGGGGTCTCAAATTCTCTGAGGAGCTCTGGAGGATTTGGGGGGTCCATGAAGGGTTTGGGGAAGGGTCTCAGGGGTCCTTGAAGGTTTTGGGAGGGGTCTCAAATCCTGTGAGGAGCTCTGGAGGGTTTGGGGGGGCCCTGAAGAATTTGGGGAGGGGTCTCAGGGCTGGTTTGGAGCTCCTGGGGTGGGGGGGCTGGGATTAATTTTTTGTCCCTGTCCCTTTAAGCGGACCCCACCCCATAAGGCTCTGCCGCTTTCTGCATAAACCATGCCCCCTTGTTGTGGAAACTGCTCCTTGATAGACAAAATCAATTTCAAGAAGTTAAATTTTTAAAAATTTATATATTTTATATTTATTTTAATTTAATTTATGGACTTCTCAGAACTGCATGGCCGCCTCCAGCGTCTCCGAGAGCTTCGTGGCGATTTTCTCTGTGGGATTTTCATCAAATTTTTGATGAAAAATTTTGAAAATTTTAAAAAGAAGAGGGATCAGAGAGGTTGGGATCAGTAAAATGGGAGTTTTTTTTTTCACTCACGAGCTCTTTTTGCAGTTTTTTCCTCCTTTTCCCAGCTGCCTGCAGCCCCTGGCCCTGGAGCAGAGGGGGAGCGCAGCCACCTCCTCCAGGCTGGGGGCTCGGGGCACCGGGACCCCCCCGGAGCCCCCCGACTTCACCCGGGGCTGCAGCTCCACCGTCATCGTGCCGAGCTGGGGAGGGGACAGATATGAACCCCAAAAACCCCCCCAAACTGCCCAAAAAAAACCCCAAAACCCCTCCCCAAAAAACCCCCCCAAAACCCCAAAATTACCCCTAAAAACCTTCCAAACCCTCCCAAAAATCCCCCCAAAACACCCCCTACAAAAAACCCCAACCCCCCCCCCAAAGAAAACCCAAAAATATCCCCTAAAAAACCCCAAAACTCCCCAGACCCCCCAAAAAAAAACTCCAAGCCCCCCAAAAAAACCCCAAAAACCCCCTCAAAAACACCCCAAACCCCTCCAAAAACCCAAAACCCCCTCCCAAAAAAACCCCATTTCTCCCCCAAAAAACCCTAAAATCCCCCCAAAAAACCCCAATCCCCCCCCAAAAAAACCCCAAAACTCCCCGAAACCCCCCCCAAAAAAAACCCCAAAAAACCACAAAACCCCCAAAACCCTCCAAAAAAACCCCAAAAAAGACCAACCCCTCCAAAACACCCCCAAAAGAAACCTGAAAACCTCCCAACCCTCCCCCAAAAAATCACCAAACCCCCCCCAAAAACACCCCAAACCCCCACCAAAAGCCCCCAAAACCACCCCAAAGCCCCGTCCTCCAACCCTCCCCCAAAAAACCCAACCCCCCCAAAAAAAAAGCCAAAACCCCCTTTCAAAAAAGCCAAAAACCCCAAAACCACCCAACTTCCCCTCAAAAAGACCTCAAACCCCCCAAAAAAACCCAAAACCACCAAAAACCCCAAAACCCCCCCAGACTCAGCAAATCCCACCTCCAGCTCGCCGCTGTTGTCCTCCATGGCTTCACCCTCCTCTTCCTCCATCTGTGTCACCGTCACTGGGATGGCTGTGGGGGAGATCCAGGTGAATTTTGGGGGATCCAGGTGAATTTTGGGGGAATCCAGGTGAGTTTTAGGTGGTCCAAGTGAGTTTGGGGGTTCCCAGGGAATTTTGGTGGATCCAGATGAGTTCTGGGGGGGATCCAGGTGAGTTTTGGGGAATCCAGGTGAGTATTGGTGGGCTCCAGATGAGTTTTAGGGGATCCAGGTGAATTTTGGGGGTTCCAGGTGAGTTTTAGCGGTTCCAGGTGAGTTTTGGGGGGAATCCAGCTGAGTTTTGGGGGTTCCAGTTGAGTTTTGGGGGGGGATCCAGGTGAGTTTGGGGGGGTTGCCAGTGAATTTTGGTGGGTTCCAGATGAGTTTTAGGGGATCCAGGTGAATTCTGGTGGATGCAGGTGAGTTTTGGGGGTTCCAGGTGAGTTTTGGTGGGCTCCAGATGAGTTTTAGGGGATCCAGGTGAATTTTGAGGGTTGCAGCTGAATTTTGGGAGGTTCCAGATGAGTTTTAGGGGTTCCGGCTGAATTCTGGGGGTTCCAGCTGAATTTTGGGGGGTCCCCGAGGGGGAAGGGAGGGGTTCAGGTGTCCCTCACCTGCCAGGGCCTCGGCATCTCCCCGTTCCAGCGCCTCCAGGTCCAGCGCCGGCCCCAGCGTGGGCAGGATTTGGGCCTCGAGCTGCACCCCCTGGGATTTGGGGGGGTGGGTGTAGTAGGTGATCTTGCCACTGTGGGGAAAAAAGGGGGGTCAGGGGGTGGGGGACCCCTCATGTGCCCAAAATCGGGGTTGAGGGTGTGGGGGGAATCACAGGTGTCCCCAAAAATAGAGTTCAGGGTATGGGGGGGGGACCTGTCCTGTCCCCAAAAAAGGGGTCAGGGTGTGGAAACCCCTCCAAGCCCCCCAAAAATGGGGCCAGGGTGTGGGAAGACCCTCCCAACCCCTCAAAAAAGGGGTCAGGATAAAGAAACCCTCCTCAAACCCATGGAAAGGAGGTCAGGGTGTGGAAGACCCCTCCAAACCCCCCAGAAATGAGGTCAGAGTGTATGGGGACCCTCCCAAACCCCCAAAAAAGGGACCAGGGTGTGGAAATCCCTCCCCAAACCCTTAGAAATGGAGTCAGCGTGTGGGAAAGACGCCTCTACCCACCCAAAAAAGGGGGTCAAGTAAAGAAACCCCTCCTAAGCCCCAGAAACAGGCTCAGTGTGTGGAGAACCCTCCCAACCCCCTAGAAATGGGTTGAGAATGTGGGGAGACCCCTCCCAAGCGCCTCAAAAAAGGGGTCAAGGTGTGGAAACCCCTCCCCAACCCCCCAAAAATGGGTTAGGGTGAATAGAACCCTCCTCAAACCCCTAGAAAAGGGCTCAGGGTGTGGAAAATCCTCCCCAACCCCCTAGAAATGGGGGGCAGGGTGTATAGGGACCCTCCCAAACCCTCAGAAATGGGGTGAGGGTGTGGAAATGCCTCCCAACCTCCCAAAAAAGGGGGTCAGGGTAAAGAAACCCCTCCCAGCCCCCCAGAATAGGGTGAGGGTGTGGGAAGACCCCCCCCAAACCCCCCATAAAGGCACGCAGGGTGTGGGGACCCCCCCCCCAAAGCCTCCCCGTCCCCCCCAGACCTGGTCCAGTCGCGCAGCAGGGCCGTGGCGGCAGCGTTGGCGTCCGGGAGCCCCCCCCGGGCGGAGCCGGCCCTGCCGCCGTGCCAGGTGTGCCAGGAACTGCAGGGGGTCAGGGCAGGGGGGCACCCCATAGAGCTGGCTCAGCTGGGGGGGGGGAAAGAGGGGTTTGGGGGGGGTGGCACAGCGGGAACTGGCACCCTGTGCCACCCCCGGGGGACAAAATGGGCTGGAAATGGTCAAAGTGGGGTGGAAATGGCCAAAATGGGGCAAGGTCCCCCTGAAAAAACCTCCCCTCCCTCTGGTTAGGGGCACAGGGTGGACACCCCAATGTTGAGACCCCCGATTTTGGGGGTCACTGAATCCCCTAAAGAGCTGAGATGGACAAATGAGGTCCCCCCTAAATTGGGAACATTGCCTTGTGACTGAGCCAGGTGGGCCAGGACAAAAACTGGGACAAATTGGGACAAAACCTCAAGAAAGTGGGACAAAACCCCATGAAATTGGAGCTGGCTCAGCTTGGGGGGGGGCACACAGAGGGGTTTGGGGGGTGGGCACAGCGGGGACTGGCACCCTGTGCCACCCTCGGTGGCCAAAATGGGCTGAAAATGGCCAAAAAGGGGTGAAAATGCCCAAGACGGGGCAGAGTCCCCCCTCACTCCTCCCTAATGTTGAGCCCCCCCCCCCTTAATCCCGATTTTGGGGGTCACCGAATCCCCCAAAGGGCTGAGCTGGAAAATGGGGTCTCCCCCCCCCCCCCCCCACCCCCCAGGGGGGTCCCCATTACCTGCTGGGGGGGGGCAGCGCTGCAGGATGGCGCAGGCCGGGCCCAGGGGGTCCCGCAGGCGCTGGGGGGCCAGGGCCCCCCTCAGGGGGGGCGGCGGCCGGGGGGTCCCCCGAGTCCAGCACCACCCCCGGGCAGTCCAGGAGCCGGATGTGCCCGTCCAGCTGCACGGCCTGCAGGCACCTGGGGGCGGGGGCACACAGCTGGGCGGGGGCTGTGCCACACCCACCACACCTGGGCGCGGTCTGTGCCACACTCAACACACCTGGGTGGGGTCTGTGCCACACCTGGGCGCGGTCTGTGCCACATCCACACCTGGGCATGATCCCTATG